TTCTCCCTTGTAGGCAATCTTCACGGTAGCCTTTTGTAGCGGCCTTCGCTCGGCAACTCAGAATAAACACCTGTCTCTTATACACATCTAGATGTGTATAAGAGACAGCCATTAACCCCTCCTTCTCCCCCGACACTCTATCTCGTCCCCCATCACCCCCCCGCTAACGCACTCCTCACCTCCTACCACCCCGATCGACCCCCCTCTCTCCTACCCGTAAGTGGACAAAATGCATATCTCCCATCACTAGTAATATGCTCTAATCCCGCCGCGCCTACCCCCTGGTTAACCAACATCCTCATTTGCGTTACTCTCTCTTATCGTTCTTATCGGGCGGTATCGGCTAATACTGATTAACGTATTACCCCAGTTTTTCAAATAGGTCCACCCGGTCCAATCGATCGAAGCACATCACATCCACCCCGGATCCCTCCCCATGATTCGCGCATGTTAGCCCGCCCACACTCAATACATTCAGACCCCGTTTCTACCATCCCTCCCGGCCGATTCTACCTCCCACCCTATCGTGACCCTCGCCCGTTATCTCATCAGATCTGTTCGCCCTCTCCTCCAAGCCTCGCTATCCCTTCATGTGCGTTCCCATCCCCCCTCCCCCGTCATTCTCAACTATCTCCAACCGCATCTCGTCAATACTGGCTCCTACCCCGCCACCCCCCGGACGGGTGCCAGATCGTCTCCCGTCACCACCCCCACAGCCCCGCTCTCCCTCCTTCCCCATCTCCATCTCTCCCATCCGCCCTCTTTATCGCTCCCCCGCTACCCCCCGCCACTCCCCGTCATAGCCGTCCACACCCTCCATCAATCCCTACAATCGTTCCCTCACACCCCACACCACCGTAGCTGGCCTGGTCTGTTTTCTGATACAATTACTATTATGTTTCTTCTCTTTTATATTTAACATTCCTTGTAATGTCCATTGCCATGCTGCTTTCAATTCAATTTAGTTATTACTTTTAGTCTTACCTTCAATTTTACATCCACACACATGGGCAAGTGGTAATGGCATTTCACTACCACTCCATTATTTTAACTATGTAACACTGCCTGCATTACTAGGCCAAACTTAATTCAATTCAATTATTAATTATTTTAAGTATTATTTCATTCTTTACTTGTTTGTCTCACATCGTGTAGATTACAAGAGCCAATCCAACCCTACCCCCCCTACCACCCATTCCGTCTCTCTCCTACTCTTGCCCCTGTCCGTCATTCCACCTATACTCTTTACCCGCCATCCTCCCACATCCCCAGCCACCCCTACCAAGCAGCCAGCTTCTGACAAGTTGCATTGGGTAGTCTTATTTCTCTGCTAACCTCACCTATTCCCACCGCATCGGCCACTGCACCAGAGGATAACACTCCCTCTCAACCCCACAATGGAAGCGGAGCACCAAGTGCCTGCTGGTGAGTCGGTTACGGAAATAGACAGAGAAAAAGCCGAACTTCAAAAGCTAAACGACATGATGAAGGGATGGTTCATCGATCACGTCTCCCAGGACGTGTCAGCATATGTGGAAACCAACATCAGTGAGGAGGATGATTGCATCAAAATCCGCCCTTCCGAGAAGTTTCAGAAAGTCCAAAACGACTTCCTGAAACAGATGACGGTCGCAATCATCTTTCAAGGTGAAACCAAGAACTGGTCAAATGACAAAAAGGTCGATTTGATCAGATACTTGGAAGAATCAGTCCTAACAGAGGAGGAACTGACAACGCAGAAGGACACTACTCACATGGAGGGGAGGGGCCAGATGACATATATCGCAAAGAGTTTGAAAGTGGTCGAATGGCTCATCCAAACGAAAAAGGAAATGAAGTTTAAAGAAGGAAACAAATGGCACCTCGTCCTTTTTCGCCCCTGGCTCCCGCGGTCGGAATGGGAAAAGAAAGGGGAAGAGGATAAAAGGAATAACTACTGGGTGATGGCTATGCGCTTCCCCATCGCTGCTTCAATGTTTATCAAAACTGGCCTTGAAGCAGCAATGGGCAAGGTGCTCCAATAATTCTCTCCCATCAGCGACTTGGATGATCCCAAATTGGGGAACCTAAAGTACCACCTTCATCCCAGTGCAGAGGAAAGATTCAGATCGCGCCTCAAAGTATGGACAGACTCTGATTACCTGGTGGCGGATCTGGTCAATTCCAATACCCCTTGGTGCTCACAGTGCAACCGCTATGGACATCAACCGGACGACTGCCCTTTCTGTGAAAACTGCTACAAAAACGGGCACACAACTGAAGATTGCAGAGCGGACGAGTGGAACAGACAGAAAAAGACCCCCAAGGAGTCACATTCATCTCAGGCATCTTTGCTACAGTCCATCCAAGCAGGATACACGGATAGGAAACATGCATGGGAGGAGTTCACCTACAGGGATCACGCCCCACACCGCACAACCCGCAAGAAGAGACAACCCCAATGGGACCAAAGCAACACCCTGTTCCAACAGCAGAAGGGCCCCCAACTAACCCACCAGGGCTGGGGTGCCACCAGACAGCATGGCAACGGTAATGCAACACAACCTGCAGCAGACAAGTGGGCATGGCGCCCGATGGGACCCTCCCCTCTCGGAGGCTCGGTAACAGACCCAACAAGACAGGGTGGCGCATGCTTCGCTGCAGGGTTCTCTTGCTCTCCCACAGGTTCGAACGCAACCTCCCCAGCAATGGCCTCCTCATCACAGCCAAATGCATCGAAGGTGCTGATCCCAGAGAGTAAACGGCTAGGCTCCTCAAGCGGGATGGATCCTACCTCAGTACCCACTCAGGCACAGGTACAAGCATAGGCAGGGAACCTGGGCACCGCACAGAAAGAACAGCCGCCCCAACCTCTGCAATCCCCAGTCCTGTTGGGCCCAGTATCCCCGACGACCCCGCAAGACACGCCCTACGTGTTGGCCCCCCTCGTCTTCAAACAATGCAACCAAGGAACACTCATACTTTTACACCAAACGATAAGAATGAGTTGTTCCTCCAATCTCTGACTTCTAGCAATTTCCCGCACCCAAACGACTTCCTTTTCTCTGCACGGAGAGCGCTAGACAGGAAATACTTCGTGCGCCCTATCCCGGCCATGCCCTGCTCGTCAATCTACAGAAAAGGGCACACAGGTAAGAACCATCCAATTCTCAGCATGTAGCTGGAAGCAGCTCAGGCTCCCGGAATAGATCCAGCAATTGTGGATAAGGGCCTGCTCTGGGCCCCGACAACTTGGTTCAAGCGGACCAATACAAAGGAACGTTTTTTCCCATCGCTCGGCGATAGGATCACGGGAGATATAATTGTAAATTTGGATGATCACATTCCAAAGGAACGGTCCATCTTTTCCAGGTACATCCTGGAATCGATAAAGATCCAATGGGATGTGCCGAACATGATGGCCACGTCTGGCCCAAGCGG